ATAACATGTATATATATATATATATATATATATATATAAGTCTGGATGCTTGAGTCTATACTGTCGGTAGAGTGCTCGATGCATTAAGTTGCAGAGCGTAATAAATTGTAGTCTGTAGATAAATTAAAGACAAAACATCACTTTTAGCTGTTCAGAGTAACAGCTAAAAGTGATGTCTTGTCTTTAATTTATCTACATACTACTAATTTATTTATATATATATTGTGTGTGTGTGTGTGTGTGTGTGTGTGTGTGTGTGTGTGTGTGTGTGTGCGTGTGCGCAATGTTCGTGTTGCCTGTGTGTGCATGTGCGTGTGCGTGTGCGAGTGCTGTGCGCGCGCGGAGTGTGTGTGTGGGAGAGTTTGTGTGTGGCGCGCGCGTGTGTGCGTGCGTGCGTGTGTATATATATATATATATATTATATATATATAATATATATATATAGACCGCGTGTGACCCTGCAGACCACGCGCCCTCACGGAAATCAGCCAAATATAAAGTCATTCGTAGACTTGCGCTTGACGTTAGCTTCACCCGCATTTTCCTGGTAATGTTAAATCGTAAGACGATGTAATTATGATTGAAAACGGATTATTCGCATGTAGAATTCCGCATGGCGCTGATATATATTAATATCCCAATAAATAAAACGATAACTAATTAGTACTAGTATTTGGGGTGGGTCGGGTTGCTGGATTTCACGCGTGTGCAGCACTATCAGGACGTGCGTCACGCTCGGTTACGTCGAAGTTGTCATGGTGACGCATGCAGACGAACGCTAAATAAACCTAAGCTACACGGTAGGTACATATAATAAGTCACGAATATATTATATAGTATAAATAATATATATACATATATATATATATATTATACCTATTATACTATAACCTATATATATATATATATATTAAACGTATGTTTAAATACTAGGCAAAGTTGAAATCCAGATAACTTATAGCTCGTAAATCCTATTGAGGTCTATAGGCGAATTGCCGCCGTCTTCTTCTCGCGTTTGGAACATTTTGAAACCTATGAGCAACGCTCGCGTCTGGCGAGCGTGTGGAACATCTATCACTAGCGGTCGGTAAAAATAAATAATAAAAATATCAGCCACCATACTGGAGAGAGTGGAAAGCTGACTAAACTCAGCTGTTCGGCCAATTTTCTCGCATTAAAAGCGCGGTGTCATCGGGGCGGCAACTGAACAAAATGGCGGGTTCGATCTGTCAGCTCAGCTGCTGTTAGGTATAAAGAATCACAATGAGACACTGTCAGTCGTCAAGTCGACCTTTCGATGCGTTAGTTACCGACATCTTTGCTTCCGCCTACGGTATATTTTTTTTCTCGTCGATGTTGCGTGTGTACAGGGCCGTATATCAATAACTCACAGAGCCGCAATATTGTGATATCGACCACACAGTATGCACTAGCGTAAAAATGTAATATCGTGGGTAATACTTTTACTGTCCCCTGTACCCACCACACATTCTTGATCAATCACAGCAAACCACCGCCGCTCATAATATAAATATATTAATAAATTCATTTATGTATATATATATATATACATATATATATACATATATATTTATATATATATCACTAAGTATTAGTAGTAACGGTATTATTTTTCTGCTGCTTTCTATAACATACCGTTGTAAGGGGTGATAAGATGCATCTTGTTGTCCTCGATATTACGCTATATTTCTTCTCCGGTTTCCTTTCCTCTTCCTCTGTCTCTTCCTCCTACCTCCTCCTCCTATTCTGCCTTCTTTCCCCAATCTCCGGTCACTTCTCGTTCTGCCTCCTTCTCCTGATATCGCGTATCCTCCTCTTTTTCTTGTCTTTCTTCTTCTTCTTCTTCTTCTTCCTCCTCTTCCTTCTTTTTCTCCACCCGCTAGCAGCAGCCGCAGCTAACAACAGCTGAATCAGCCATCCGATAGATTAAACGATAACCTGCAAGCTCAGGGACAAGTCAAATGATTAGATATCGTGTTACTGTGTATCGGTGCGCTCATATTTTATTTGTCGATGGAAAGGGTTATAGAACTCTTTCAGTTGTTAATTTCGGAAACTAGAAACCTTGCTGCATCTGACAGTGTGGGTGGCCTGTGTACAATCCCGCGGCAGCCGGGGAATCTTTAAATGAAACCTACTCTTTGGCGTTTATTTACGGAATAAATTATGGAAGAATCTTTGATTTGACAACATATGCGGTCATTTGGATCATCAATGGTGGTATTGTGGCGTATTACGGTTTCTCGAACCCACATCTGCCGATTTATGGGAGTTTTTTCGTACATATAACCACCGATGGAAAATGATTTCTCGCCGTAATACATATATAATGTGTTAAATTAAACATTAAACCATCTTCGATTCGAGGACTGGCAATGAATAGTTGAATTAGCCTGCTGCGTTACAAGTGTTTGCTGATTCACATTTCGATGCTGCTGGTTGCGTCAATGAAAGGAAGCATTATCGCGGAAGGCAGCTGCAAACCATTAATCTGTGCATGGTCGTCTTATCATAACATCAAAACATCAAAAATCAAAACATCTAAACATTCAACTTCTAAAGCCCGGAGTCATTTTACTCACGTGTGCGGCGGATTTTCGTTGAGTAATTTAGTGCAGTGACCAGCGACCAGCGACCAGAGTGTTAACAGTACTACAAGCGACCAGAGTGCAGTGAATCGAGTAAGTATCGTACGTATTGTTGAGAGGTTATTATATACTGCTGAGGCCGATACTATAGAGGTAAAGCAGCGTTATATACTGAGTGCGATTAAGCCCGGCGCACACGTGAGTTATTTTACTCAAGTAAAAGGACGCATGAGTCAAATTACTCAACGAAAGTCCGCCGCACACGTGAGTAAAATGACGCATGCGTCTTGGTCGCTTGTAGCACTGTTAGCACTCTGGTCGCTGGTCGCTGGTTACTGCACTCGGGTCGCTTGTAGCACTGTTAGCACTCTGGTCGCTGGTCGCTGGTCACTGCACTCGGGTCGCTTGTAGCACTGTTAACACTCTGGTCGCTGGTCGCTGGTTACTGCACTCTGGTCGCTTGTAGCACTGTTAGCACTCTGGTCGCTGGTCGCTGGTCACTGCACGTCTGGTCGCTTGTAGCACTGTTAACACTCTGGTCGCTGGTCGCTGGTTACTGCACTCTGGTCGCTTGTAGCACTGTTAACACTCTGGTCGCTGGTCGCTGGTCGCTGGTCACTGCACTCGGG